CAGTTTTACCACATGGAAAAATAAAGGGCCTCATTCACAACTATAACAAAAGACTACAAGCCCTAGTTCTCAACTGTCACAAAAGATTGCAAGCCTTAATGATGCTAAATGGGGAAATACATAATGCTGAGAATTAAAGATTTTTGAACAGAGTTGTGAGGAGCAAAGGAAAGCTAAATATGTGATGCTGGCAGGGCTGCCACTAAAATTATATGTGGGCACAGTATCGGTTTTCCTGAATGTATTGGCACTTTCCATGCACTAATGTGTTATTTGTACCCAGAAATCATGAAAGTCTGGACTATACAATGTAAGTCTTCCTCAGTAGAAGTTGAGGGCAGGCCCTTGCTCTCTCACCTCTTGCAATTTAATGAGGCTGTCTATTAAGTTGAAGAACCAGAAGTCAGTTGCAAAAGGTGGGAGGGTTTTTTGAAGCTAATGAAAGCATTCTGCATGTGAAGAACATGGATCCTCATATCAGAATAGATAGAAAAAAAATAAGGGCAAGCTCACAAAAAATGTAATACATGCTAACTAGTAGTGTTTTTTCCTTTCCATAAATTGTTTTTATTCACTTGCAATACGCTTTCGAATTTGCTAGCAAATTTGACTACTCCAGGAGAGTCAATCCTTTTTTTTATGTAGCAGCTAGGAAAGAGAAAAAGGGGAATAGTATAGAGCAGGGTTTCTCAACCAGGGTTCTGTGGAACCCTAAGGTTTCTCCAGAGGTTGTTCCTTGCATCTGCAACTCAGATAAGTTATCATTGACATCATTGATCTTTTTTTGCTATCTGTAAGGGGGCAATGCTTCCCACTGACCACAAGTGTAAGGCGCATTCTTCCCACTGACCATCACACTAACATATCAAGGGTTGTAGATATAGTAATTTTTAGCAAGGGTTTCCTGAGACTAGAAAGTTATTTCAAGGGTTCCTCTATGCTGAAAACATTGAAAAAGGCTGCTATAGAGTGGCAGTTCTAAATAATTCTGCTGGTGCTCATGACGTCAGATCTGGTGGCTCCCTCCCTAAGAGGCATTTGAATGTATATGCAAGAGAGGCTTTTACAGATAAATAATATGCAAAAAATATGCTAAATGCACATTTCATTTTTATGGGAAGATGTTTGTTGAAATGACTGGTCTATCAACAGCATCTACAGTATTTGAAGCCCAACTCTAGGTACAATGAAAAAAGACCCTTGCAGTTAGTCCTACCCCACTGCAAGGGTTATATGCTTGTTAAGGATAGGGGTTTCAGAAGAGGCTGTATTAGCAAGCGCCGGTACTTTCCTCTCTTCTGAATCTCTGGCCTGTGGGTGGGGCCTCGTCATCATCACATATAATGCATAGTTTGCTGTGTGTGAGCCTTTACTTTGTAAAACAACCCATTGAGTTTAAACTAGAAATGCAAGGCAAAATGTTTGTGTATGTATACTGCATATATATATATATATATATATATATATATATTTTTTTTTTTTTTTTTATTTCAGGAACTTATATAGCGCCGTCAATTTACGCAGCTCTTTACATATACAGTACATATATTGTACATTCACATCAATCCCTAACCCTCAAGGGGTGTACAATCTAAGGTCCCTAACTCACATTCATACACACACATACTATGGCCAAATTGGACAGGAGACAATTAACCTACCAGCATGTCTTTGGAGTGTGGGAGGAAACAGTAGTACCCGGAGGAAACCCATGCAGGCACAGGGAGAACATGCAAACACCAGGCAGGTGGTGTTGTGGTTGGGATTCAAACTAATGACCCTAGTACTGCCAGGTGGAAGTGCTAACCATTTAGCCACTGTGCTGCCCGTATATATATATATATATATATATATATATACACTGTATATGTATGTGAAAATTATAAATAACTCATTTTTATGTGTGATTTTTACAAGTGATCACATGACCTCTGTTCTCTGCTGCATAGGAGGCTTAGAGAGGTGTGGATAGGGACTACAGAGGGGTGTGCCAGCAGGAGGCAGAGATAGAACAGTACATTGATCTTCCCAGGTAAGAGCTGTTCAGGGGGACATGTTAGCGCAAGAAGAAACCTGACCATGCTGGGATGGACATGCTTCCATGCCCTGTGTGGTAGGTTTGAAATAGCAGGGGGACTGGCAGGAATATCAAGTATTTCATACAAAGATAGCAATGCAAAGAGAAAGGAATACTTTTTAGTACATAATAACACAGACACATAGAAATTAGAAATGTTGGGGTAACATACATTTTATGTAAGTATTGCAGCCTCTTTTGCAAATGAATCAAGGATGTCTTCAGGCAAGTGTCGCTAAGTATGATGAGGGTGGTGACCAGTGTTAAGGATCCAAAATCATTGCATTGCCAAATCTTCATGGTGTTGCCATTAGTTATGTACAGTTAACAATGTTTACAGTGTGATTGTGATATTTTACTGTACCCATGATAGTTTCAGCTAAACTGTCAACCTTTGTAATATCTTTAAGATGTAGATATTACTGTCTTTGTTATCCTTCATATTACTGTTTGCTGATATCTTACAGGACTATCCAATGCCTCTAGAAGGAGGGGACAGGATGACTAGGAAGATTGTCTGGTTTATGTATTTTTTTGTAGAACAGAAGAATGATCCTAAGTAAAGGCCTTAATCTGTTTTTTTTACAATCTGTAATTCTGAGAGAATTCCTTCACAAAATACATGAGCGCATGAAAAAGTAAGAAGTGCCTAATGTACTGTAAAAAGTTTGTATATGCAGCAAACTGCAAGTTATTATTATACAAAATCCTATAGCAACAAGTAAGATAATTCTCATGCTATAGGATTCTTTTCAGCAAGTTCTTCATTTACAACTAAATCGAGATTTTGAGGAAGGCGTGGTTTCTTTAGAACTGTTATAACTTGCTTTGAAACTAAATGCAACCTTAAGTTGCACAATATCAATTTCAGACAACTGTGCTACAGTTTGAAAAGCTTCTGTTGAAATATCACTTTGTCTGATATGACTAACCCGTTTGGGGTCTAAATAGGACATATCAGGAATCAAAATTACAACAAACCATAGACTACACAGAAAACCTGAAAATAAATCTATTCAAAGAGATTAGAAAGGTTTTCATCCCGTGACAATTTTCCGGGCTTCCTTTTTTTCTTGGATACCCCGTTGGGAGACTAAATGGCTTTTGATTGCATTACCGAATGCTCCAGTGGACTACAGCTTGCCTTGTGCCTGTATGCTGACATCTTACAGGACTTTCTAATGTCTCTCTCAGGAGGGGGGCAGTGTTTTTTTAATTTAACTTAAAGAATAAGTTTACCTTTGGAACATGATACATGTTTCACCCATATTTAAGGCGGAACATGTAACATGTTCCAGCTTCAGCCTCCTCTCCCCCGATTTCCTCCCCCCTCCCTATTATCCTCTCCCTGTACCCACTGTCAGAATTTAAAAACTTTTTCCACATGGCTGTGTCATTCATTAACAGAGTTTTGTGAATGAATGAACTACAGGTATCATCGGCTGCTGGGGGCAATGGCTTGTAGTTTTCAATGAACTATGTGGGTGCTGGTGAGCAGTCTCGTAGTTCGTTGATTTTTCCTGCAATTCAGTAACTGCCTGCCCATATGGGAGGTAGGGACAGACAGCTGATTGAGAGTCTGCAGGAGCCTGGTATTACAGGCTGCAGAGTAAAGAAAAAAAAAAGCATTACAGGTTGCAGAGTAAACAAAATATAAAAATGCAAAATTTCCTGGAAAAAAATGTGAATTTGTTACTTTTTTTATGAAATGTGAACTTAGCCTTTAAAGAAGAATTTTCTTGTAGAACAGAAGAACAATAAACAAATTCATCAAGGTTGTCATCCTAAACTTTCTGTGTTTCTTAATACATGGTATTCCAGAAGATCCTTCTAAGCTGAGACCTTAATCTGAACATCCTTAACTCAAATAATATCAACCTTCGCCAAGTGTGCTACAGATTGCAAAGCTTCTGTTGAAATGTCAGGCCACACACACCGATGGCATTACACTAAAAATGTAATTCAACCAAAATCAACATAATGCATGCCCCCACTTGAGAACAGCCCTCCAACTGGCTTTGTTAGAGACTTTCTCTGATTAGGTCTGTTGGGGGTGAAACAAATAAAAGAGTGACAGTTATCAGGCAGGGACGCACAGTACACAGTGGCATCCAGTTTGTTTACAACTTCAAGCTGAGGAGGAGATGGAAGTTTGGAGCAGTGCTCCTTCCCTTAAGTCTTCTGATGTATCATGGATGAACTTTTCACTTACTTGAGCTTTCTTATTCCACACTGTTTGTTGGCTGATCAATGACTACATAGAAAACCTGAAATTAAATCCATTCAAGGGGATAGAAAGGAGTTCATCCTGTGACTTTCTCCAGGTTTTCTTTTTTCTAGGACTACCTGTTGTGAGATAAATTGGCTTTCGATTGCAACATTAACAGAGTGCTCTAGAAGGGAGCTTGCCTTTGTGACAAATGATTTCACCAGTATAGTTAGGTTGAAAATGAATTCCTAAGCCTAATAATTTGGTGTTTGGCAATTTCCATCATTGTCTGTAAAATATTGAATTAGTCTCTCTTAACTACTTGCCAACCACAGATAGCCGAATGACGGCTACACTGCGGCCGGCCAGTTTTGGGAGGGCGTCATATTACGCCCTCCCAGTACCCGCTCTCCTGTGCGCCCCCCGGGGGCGTGCACCCGGCAATCTCCATGATCGCTGTGTCCTATGAACACAGCTGATCACGTGATGTGGTAAAAGGCCAATCACAGCGGCCTTTTACCACGTGATCAGTCGTGTCCAATGACACGCTGATCACCGGGAAATGCAATTGCCGGTTCTTGGTTGCACTTTCATCTCGCTGTCAGAGCGCAAGGAAAGTACTGCCGAGAACCGGCAGTTGTCAGAGCAGAGATCGGCACCGATCATCAGGGCACTGATTATCAGTGCCCTGATGATTGGTGCCCAGCATTGCCACCCACCAGTTCCGCCCACCTGTGCCCAGCAGTGCACCCACCTATGCCCAGCAGTGCGCCCACCAGTGACCAGCAGTACACCCTCCTGTGCCCAGCAGTGCACCCACCTTTGCCACCCAGCAGTGCCACACACCTGTGCCCAGAAGTGCCACCTACCTGTGCCCACCCACTTGTGCCCAGCAGTGCCACCCACCTGTGCCCACCAACCTGTGCCCACCAGTGCCACCCACCTGTGCCCACCAGTGCCACCCACCAGTGCCCATCAGTGCCACCGGTCAGTGTCCAGTGGTTGTGCAGTCAGTGCTCAGCAGTTGCGCCAGTCAGTGCCCAGCAGTGATGCCAGTCAGTGCCACCTATCAGTGCTGTCTATCAGTGCCGCCTATCCGTGCCACCTCATTAGTGCTGCCTATCAGTGCCGCCTATCCGTGCCACCTCATTAGTGCTGCCTATCAGTGCCGCCTATCAGTGCTGCCTATCAGTGCCAACCAGTGCTGCCTATCAGTGCCCATCAGTGCCACCTATTAGTGCTCATCAGTGCTGCCTCATCAATGCACATCAGTGAAGTAGAAAAAATTACCTGTTTGAAAAATGTTATAATAGAAACAAAAAAACTTTGGGTTTTTTTTTTAATTTTTTTTGCAATTTTTTTGTTTATAGAGCAAAAAGTAAAGTGTCCAGTGGCGCAAAATACCACCAAAAGAAAGCTCTATTTGTGAGAAAAAAATGATAAAAATTTCATATGGGTACAATCTTGCATGACCGCGCAATTGTCAATTAAAGTGCGACAGCGCTGAAAGCTGAAAATTGGCCTGGTAAAGAAGGGGGTACAAGTGCCCAGTAGGCAAGTGGTTAAAATACTCTGAAACTAGACTAGCAATATGAAAGATTTGCATAAACAGGAATGATGATAAGAAAGGTTTCATATTAAGTCCAAGCATGAAGAATATGTTTAGCCCTACTTTCAGCTTTACTGTCAAATCTAGGAGATTCGACAATGTATTCAAAACAGTACATAGAACAGTATATAATTTCTTTAAATGGTCTGTATTGGAATAAAAAATAGAATGTGCTCTTAGCTTGCTCTGTGATCTAGTATCACCAATTTTCTTAGGTTTAGAGAGCTTTTCATGCCTTTTGACCCTGAAAGCAGTCCAAAGAGAATAGAGTTCATATGATTCTGAGATAAAGACAGTTAAAAGAATGAATTCATAAGAGTGGCAAACTGTGTGACATCAGTCATCAGCAAACTAAGAATGTAAGTGAACACCACATATATACACACTTGCACAACATTCTTTTAATGTTGGTCTGTACTCCATTATAGTTCCCACTTAGATTTGCAGTACCATCAAATGTGCAGCCGGTAATGTTAACAACGCTCTAGAAGAACAATTAAAACTGCTGTCTCAGAGTACCAGTCTTTTTCCAGTTGCCCTACCTGCAGGTAAAGTGAAAAGCTTCTCCTGCACCAGTCCCAATTTGACATATCACAGAATTTTGCTGCATTGTTCTTTCACTGAAACCAGGACCAGGACAAAAGGGGAGAGGGCAGAAGGGATGCAACAGTTTACAAGAGGGGCACAGCTGGAGTGCAGTGCTGGCTAGCCTTGTCGTTGGAAATGCAAAGTCAGTACACAGATCACTCCTGCTGCCCAGCCAGAACACACTGCACACAGTACATTTGCAAATATGCAACATTGTGTCTAGTGCGCTCCTGCACCCTACACTAGTTTAGCAGGCATATACACTATATTGCCAAAAGTATTGGGCCTGCCTTTACACGCACATGAATTTTAATGGAAACCCAGTCTTAATCTATAGGGTTCAATATTGAGTTGGCCCACCCTTTGCAGCTATAACAGCTTCAACTCTTCTGGGAAGGCTCTCCACAAAGTTCTGGAGTGTGTCTATGGGAATGTTTGACCATTTTTCCAGAAGTGCATTTGTGAGGTCAAGCACTGATTTCGGATGAGAAGGCCTGGCTTGCAGTCTCCGGTCTAATTCATCCCAAAGGTGTTCTGTCGGGTTGAGGTCAGGACTCTGTGCAGGCCAGTCAAGTTCCTCCACCCCAAACTCGCTCATCCATGATTTTATGGACCTTGCTTTGTGCACTGGTGTGTAGTCATGTTAAAACAAGTAGGGGTCATCCCCAAACTGTTCCCACAAAGTTGGAAGCATGAAATTGTCCGAAATGGTATGCTGACACCTTAAGAGTTCCTTTCACTGGAACTAAGGGGCCAAGCCCAACCCCTGAAAAGAAAACCCCACACTATAATCCCCCCTCCACCAAACTTTACACTTTGCACAGTGCAGTCAGGCAAGTTCCGTTCTCCTGGCAACTGCCAAACCCAGACACATTCATTGGATTGCCAGACAGAGAAGTGTGATGCATCACTCCACAGAACATGATTTCACTGCTCTAGAGTCCAGTGGCAGCGTGCTTTACACCACTGCATCCAATGCTTTGCATTGCACTTGGTGATGTAAGGCTTCGATGCAGCTGCTCGGCCTTGGAAACCCATTCCATGAAGCTCTCTATGCACTGTTGCTGTACTAATCTGAAAGCCACACAAAGTTTACAGGTCTTTGCCTATTGATTCTGCAGACAGTTGGCGACTTCTGCGCATTGTGTGCTTCAGCATGCGCTGACCCCACTCTGTCATTTTACGTGGCCTACCACTTTGGGGCTGAGTTACTGTTGTTCCCAGTTGCTTCTATTTTGTTATATAGCACTAACAGTTGACCGTGGAATATTTAGTAGCAAGGAAATTTCACGGATGGACTTATTGCACAGGTGGCAACCTATCACGGTACCACGCTTGAATGCACTGAGCTCCTGAGAGCAACCCATTCTTTCACAAATGTTTGTGAAGCAGTCTGCATGCCTAGGTGCTTGATTTTATGGTTCACTTGCTAAACAAGATGGCTGCCCAAATCCCAGCAGAGCGTCCAAACGTGAGTGACATCTCCCCCCCAAGAAAAAAATTACCATTCTTATTGTGCTGCATGATACAGTTTTTTGATTATTAGTCAGTCAATTTTTCCGATTGCTTACTCTTGGTTCACATACTTAAGAAGATGGCTGACTGCTGCCTTAAGTCTCTTCTTTCTTGAATGCCTGGCTCACATAGCCAGCCAACCTAGCAGTGCAGTCCTCTGCTTGTCTCAGGGTGTGCCTGGGTAAGCTAATTTCTGTTTGGATTGAGGAAGGAGCTAATGAGCAGGAGGAAGTTATGTGGTCTGACATTGGTCCTTACTTGGTCCTTACTTCTTACATCACTGCCTACCAACGCAGGAAGACGGAGGGTGGCTTGCAGTCTAGCAGCAGTTGTCAATCAAGTTGGTGATATGCTGAAATTTCTGTCTACAGTGAGAACTGGCTAGGGGAAGGAACAATAGGTGCAAAAAGGAAGGCATGACATTGACAGGAATGGCAGGTAGAAATGACAGATAGAAATGGCAAGTAGGTAGTTTTTATTTAATTTTTGGCCACATATTCAAGGCCTACCGAGGATCCCCTGGTCATCCAGTGGACATATCCATTGCTACCCAGCAGCACTCAGGGATACCTCATTAACATAATAGCTAGTCAGATAAATGATCAGACAGGGACAATTTGTAACTTGCAGTTTACTAAATAGGTTGGAATATAGAAGCAATGTGAAAAACAGGTTCAGGATGGCAAAGTACATGCCTACCCTGCAGAATAATACAAATCAGATCACAGAAGTTACACAAACATGCACTCTTGGCAATATTTCTGTAGCTCAATCAAGATAACATGTGGCTGCATAGCACTACCTTTATAATACTCTAGATCAACACAGAGTCTATCTGAGGATCCCTACTTCAGTGAACAGTTTAGAACACTGTCAGCTTCTTGGTTACCCTTATAAACAGAATCTCTCTCAGTGCAGTCCAGGGTAGTTCTGATATCTGGACATTTTTGAGATGCTGCTGTTAGACTCCTCACCAGCTGCCTGCTCACTGGTGCTGACAGTGGAGGGCCACTCACCTGGTTGCAGATCACTTGCACTGCTGAGGAAGGGAAGATGAGAAAGTTATTGTCTCTATGTGTGTCCAGGAAGCCAAGGAGCTTTGGGAAATGGAGTTAAATGGGCTTGCACCTGCATCTGAGCATGGTGAGTAAACAGGCATGCCACTACACCATATGTAACCAGGTATCTCACACAAGTGGAGTGTATCGACATAGCTGTTGTAGAGCTTACCCCCACAAGAGCCGATTGGTATGATGGGTTCTCTGCTCTGCCATTACTCTGTAAACTGTTCCCTACCCTCTGACACTTTATTATACACTGCTCAAAAAAATCAAAGGAACACTTTTTAATTCAAGTATAACATCAAGTCAATTAAAGTCCTGGAATATTGATCTGGTCAGTTAAGTAACAGAGTGGGTTGTTAATCAGTTTCAGCTGCTTTGATGTTAATGAAATTAACAACAGGTACACTAGATGAACAACATTTAGACAATCCTCAAAACTAGAATGGTTTTACAGGTGGAAGCCACTGACATTTTTTACCCTACTCATCTTTTCTTACTGTTTTTCACTAGTTTTGCATTTGGCTAGGGCCAGTGTCACTACTGGTAGCATGAGGTGATACCTAGACCCTATAGAGGTTGCACAGGCAGTCAAACTCCTCCAGGAATGGCATACCAATGCGTGCCATTGCCAGAAGGTTTGCTGTGTCTCCCAGCACAGTCTCAAGAGCATGGAGGAGATTCCAGGAGACAGGCAGTTACTTTAGGAGAGCTGGACAGGGCCGTAGAAGGTCCTTAACCTATCAGCAATACCGGTATCTGCTCCTTTGTGCCAGGAGGAATAGGATGAGCACTCCCAGGGCCCTACAAAATGACCTCTAGCAGGCCACTGGTGTGAATGTCTCTGACCAAACAATCAAAACAGACCTCATGAGGGTGGCCTGAGGGTCTGACGTCCTCTAGTGGACCCACCAGTGTGCTCACTGCCCAGCACCATAGAGCCCAATTGGCATTTACCATTGAACACCAGAATTGGCAGGTCCGCCACTGGTACCCTGTACTTTTCACAGATGAGAGCAGGTTCACCCTAACCACATATGACAGATGTGAAAGGGTCTAGAGAAGCAGTGGAGAATGTTATGCTGCCTGTAACATCATTCAGCATGACTGTTTTGGTGGTGGGTCAGTAATGGTCTGAGGAGGCATATCCATGGATGGATGCACAGACCTCTCCAGGCTAGACAATGGCACCTTGACTACCATTAGATATCAGGATGAAATCCTTGGACCCATGGGTCAGTGGGTCCTGGGTTCCTCCTGGTGCATGACAATGCCCGGCCTCATTCAATTGATAGCATTGAATGGCCCCCATGCTCGCCTGACCTAAATCCAGTAGAAACCTAATCCATGTTTTTCGGTCCATGCGACATTGTAGGTTGCACCTCAGACTGTCTAGGAGCTCAGTGATGCCCTGGTCCAGATCTGGGAGGAAATACCCCAGGACACCATCCATCGTCTCATTTCGAGCAGGCCCCGACCTTGTCAGGCATGCATACAAGCACGTGGGGCCATACAAACTACTGAGTACCATTTTGAATTTCTGCAATTAAATTTCAGCAAAAAGGACTGTCCTGCTGCATAATTTTTTCACTTTTATTTTCGTGGTGTCTTTGAATTCATTCCTCTGTAGGTTGATAATTTTCATTTCCATCAAACGATGGGGCATTCTTGCGTTCCTAACACATTACCCAGTCCATATCAGTATAGATGTCCAGCATGATATTTTTACCCATTGAGATCTGATGTGTTTTCAAAGTGTTCCTTTAATTTTTTGGAGTAGTGTATATACAGTAACACACATAGACCTGTATGACGTAAGTGTTAGTATATTGCCATTATAGATAAAGTAAGTATACTATAGCAAGGTAGGGTATAAACCAATAAACGGCACAGAATATGTAAGAATGTGTTAGACTAAATAACGTGAACACTAGCTTCAAATATGATTTTAACTAGACTGCAACAATTCTAAACCAAATTAAACTGGTATACACAGCGTTAATAAAACCCTCATAAACCGTGAAAAATATCAGTGTCAATAAAAGAAGTCCTACACTGACTCTCTGCATTAACAAATCAAAAAGTATCTCAGAATGCCCTCTGAAATTATACTCTTGGATGTGGGTATATGCATATGTTTTCTGAGAGAGGTACCCCAGGGGCTAGTTGTAAAGCTAGGCAGCATAGTGGCTAAGTGGTTAGCACTTTTGCCTAGCAGCACCTTGGTTTGAATCCCAACCACAGCACTATCTGCCTGGAGTTAGCATGTTTTCCTTGCATCTGTGTGGGTTTCCTCCCACACTCCAAAGACATGCTGGTAGGTTAATTGGTTCCTGTCTAAATTTGCTCTAGTATGTGTATGTATGAATGTGAGTTAGGGACTTTAGATTGTAAGCTCCTTGAGGGCAGGGACTGATGCAAATATATAATATACTGTATGTAAAGTGCTGTGTAAATTAATGGCGCTATATAAGCTCCTGAAATAAACTAATAACCCTGGGGCCCATCTTTATGATGGTGCACTTGTTTAAACTATATGCAGTGAAGGACTGTAAGGCTGCTAAGCAATGGGCAGTTTCTACTGGCATTAAACTGTGGACAGTAATAGGATTTAGCACAGCTTATTCCACTCACCACCCTTGATACACAAAAAGCCTGGTACAGAACACTTGGTGGTCTTTCAGCCTCAATAGTCCAGTCCTCCAGTGGCTAAGCCCTCACAAAACTCAGTTCCAGTGCTCAGGCTCTCACTGATACCCCTTTGCTGTAGGTACACACGTTAACAGGTCCCTCCAGCTCCAGTCCCAGCACAGGAAGTGACAGTTCAGTGGCTCAGTGCTCTCTGGGCATGCAGATCACAGCAATCACACCCTAGTCTTCACTCAGGCTCAGTATTCCTGGTGCCATGAATAGACACCACAGCAACTGGTCTGCACTCCTTGATTCCCTGCACTGCACTGCCAAGACCTCCAGTCATTAGCCCAGAAAAAATTCCCACTCCTCTCGTCCTTTGGTGGAGAGAATCCTGGGTAGTCAAATCCACAATCCGCTTGCATTATACTGCGCTCCTTGGGGACTACCTGTTGCAGAGTCCAATGCGCTATGTCATCAGCGGAGGGGATGAGCGGCTGCACTAACTATTCTCCTCCCCTGTGTATCACCATCGCTGCCTAGAGGGCATCTTCTTTGAATAAATATCATTTACATTCTACTAATAAAGAGTTTGGGCAACAGCAGCAGCACAGGAGGGTTTTAAAGTCTTTCAGCTAAATGTGCCAAATTGAGGCATTACTTCAAATAACTTGGTCTATGCTCAAGTGGATGTGTGCATGTGGATACCAACCAACATGTACAACAACAACATACTCGATATGGTCAACACACAGACAGAGAAGCAACTGAGTATTGCAGCCCCCAACATTTATCCAACCAACCCTGCAAACACTATCTGCATCTTGCTTTTTAGAATTGATATATGGATATACAAATGCTTTTCATATGGTACATATGTAGCAGGTGATAAAGTATGAAATCTGAAATAATAAACCGGCGTATCCAGTGACTATATTTTTAGTTGCATTGCTGTTGTCACTTTTTCTTAATACATATCCTTCATTCACAGTGATTAATTGTTAATGCCCTCTAAGCATAGTGTGTAAAGTACGGATTCAGAGATCCAAACTGCTCAGTATGTTTTCCTAGATGTAGATATAACAGAAGATTGTGACTCATAATTTTAGTATGGCCTGGTAATGCGTGGGTTGCAGTACAGAAACTATGTGTGGTACAGTACAGTCTTCTTGGCATGCTGGGGATTTCCTAAAAGGTCGATAACGGGGTATACTTTTTGAGCTGCCTGCTTTCAAACTAAAATCTCTTTAAACACAGCACAGTTTTCTTATGTTTTTTTTTATAAAATTGTATTTATTGACTTTTACGTATGCATACAACAAACACATACAAGACAGTAAAACAACAGAAAATAACTTCAAAAGAAGTCAGGTTCAATTAACCGCCATTTTTGGCCTCCGCTGTCAATCACCGGGTCCCAGCCGGTGATTACTCGCCAGCAACCGGTGATCGCTCAGTATCTCCGACAGGGGAGAGACCTGTAAGTAAACAATACAGATCTCTCCCCTGTCAGCTCCTGCACACTGCTTTGCATGGCTCTGCATATCAGAGCCATGCAAAGCAGTGTGCTTACATTGAAGCACAGACACACAGCCCCCATAATGAAACAGCACACAGTTAACCCTTTGATCACCCCAGATGTTAACCCCTTCATGCCCAGTGCCATTAGTACAGTGTCATTGCTTTTTATTAGCACTGACCACTGTACTGGTGTCACTGGAGATGTTAGTGTCACCAAGTCAGTTCCCCCCAGTGTCAGAACGCCTGTCGCAGTCCCGCAGTCCCAATAAGTCACTGAATGCTGCCATTACTAGAAAATATAAAAAAAATCCAGTATATAGACCGCCATCTGTAAACGCTATACATTTCATGTAAACTTTGGCCTAAATCTATGATGAAATAAAATTTTTAACATTTTTTTACTCAACATGTTTAATAGCAAAAAGTCAAAAATATTGTTTTTTTTGTCAAAATTGTCAGTCTTTTTTTTATTGATAGTACAAAACATAATAAATGCACAGGCAATCCAAAACCACCAAAAGAAAGCTCTATTTGTGGGGAAAAAATAAGGTAAATTTCATTTGGGTGCAGCGTTGCATGACCGCGCAATTGTCAGTTAAAGTAATGCAGCACTGTATCGCAAAAAATGGCCTGGCCAGGAAGGGGGGTAAATCCTCTGGAGGGCAAGTGGTTAACATAACAAAACCTATACAAAACTGATACAAAACTGAACCCCCTCCTTTCCCCCCCAAACCAGACTACCCCAACCAGCCACGCAATAGGTTTATGGGATACCGGCATCTCCTTGAGCCACAAGTAGAAGAGATGTCAACAATAATCTCCCCATCGGCAGACTGACCATTTGAGCACGCGGGCACTGCCCGAGGGCCCGGGGTCAGTAGGAGGCCCCATGAAATGCCCCTGGTACCTTTTATAGGCTTTTTTTAGTGTGGGGAAGGACACAGGGGCCCCATGGTCCCCTATTGCCCGGGGGGGGCCCCATGAGTTGTCAGTCTGCCCCTGCATCTCCCTGTACAGCAAGGATAAAACAAGAAAAAAAAATATACCTCAAGGGGTTATATACTCATATATAGTGTCGTCCTTGAAATTAGGGGAAGTATAATATACTATAGATCATGCCTGGGCAAAAGAAAAATTCCCAAAGGGGGCTTCCAAATACTTGGCAAGCAATAAACTGTAAAGCATAGGAATGCTAAGTAAGGGGAAAAATCCAGGCAGAGGAGGAAAGGTTATTTATTGGAAGTACAAGTCAAATGTTTAGGTGTGGCGTTGGCTTTTTGCTTGTCTCGTGTGTTTTCAGTGGTGAGAACTACAAGCAATGCATTTACTAGTTGATTCACCTTCCAGTTTGAGGTTATGCATGCGGGTCACACTAAAAACCAATACCCTGTCACATTAACACTCAACTTGACAGCCTATGAGGATGCTGGTTATATATATAGAGATCCTCTCTCGCCGCATAAGCTTACCTGGGAAGATCATCTGTGATTATTCCTCAACATGATCTCCGAAAGTTCAATAGCTGGTAGATGTTTCCGTAGAACTGAGAGCTGCTGGAAGGAAGTATTACAAGTCAATCATGCCTTTTTACTTCTTTCATTTATTTCACTTTCTATCTTTACCTGATTTACTCTTGGATAATTTAAAATAACAAGTACAAAGAAGGTTGCAGATTAGGTATAGCCGTCTGGTGTTTCAAATCAAATTCCTTGTTTAATTTTCTGAGAGAATAATAGATTAACCCCTTCGTGCCTAAGATTAAAACAAATCTTAACGCCTAAGCACAATTTTGCAACTTTAACATGTGTTACCCATGCGATCCGATTCTAATGCAAACCTTTTTTGGTGCTGATGCGGTACAATTTGCACTGCACAGAATTCACATGTGATTTACACAGGAATGTGGTAGTGGTTCCTGTGCGAATGACATGCAATGTGTGAACCTAGCCTTAAAGAGAAAAAAAAAAAAGTGTGTAATAAATAAATGAATAAAAAGAATAATTAAAAATATAAACAAAAATAACTACATCAAGGTTTCATCCAGGTCTGTGCCAGGGTTAATGTTTGGGTCAAGGTCAGGATCAGTTTTTTTTTTTTTTTAAATTAGTATCAGTGTCAGTCAGTGGCAGGATAAAAAAAAAAACCAAATTGCACACTATTGTTTCTGAGCTGTACTACGGGTACAAACAACAACTAACATACACACATGTGGTGTCGCTGCAATCGTCAAGAGCAGGAGAAATTAGGTAGGTTATGGTAGTAGCAAGAAATGAACAGCTAAATTTAAATAAATTATTTTTTTTTACTATTTTGGGCCAGTTTTCCTTTGATAATAAAAAAAATTAGGAGATACCCATTACCATTTATCACCAAATGAAATCAAAATTTGTCCAGAAAAAAACAGGGTATAATTCACCTGGATGTGCAAAGTAGTTGTGATGATATATACAGTTTTACTAACACATGTCAAAGTTGCAAAATTGTGCTTTGGCGTTAAGATTTGTTTTACCCTTAGGCATGAAGGGGTTAATATACACTTATTAGGATTTTTTTACCAAAGAAATGTAGCAAAATATATTTTGGCCTAAATTTATGAAAAAATTTTTAAAATATGTTTTATAACAGAAAGTAGAAAATATAAGTTTTGTTTTTTTTAAATCATTGGTCTTTTTTTCATTTATATTGCAAAAACCCTGTGGTGATAAAAACCAAAAGAAAAACGATTAAAATGTGTTGGCGTACAGTGTTACATGACCATACAATTGCCAGTTAAAGAAGCGCAATGCCAAATAGCAAAAAATGCCCTGGTCATGAAGAGGATAAAATCTTTTGGAGCTCAAGTGGTTATACTGTATCTGATATCATGACAATGTATGCCCTGAAAGCAGTTGTAGCAAATAATTTTCAATGTGTAGTAATTTTTGCCCCAGGTAAAATAAACAATATACCTCACTTACCTTTGTAGGTTAGCTGGGAGAGATGTCATGTTCGCACATTCCGGTGACATAATGGCCTATATATAAAAGATGGAATACCAAATAACATCACAAAACTTGACAACTTAACCAGATTGACCAATCAGAGTCAAGGTTTTATTTCCCTGAATATGAAAAGTGTGTCCTGCTGGGTTGTCGTGGGTAGGTTTTCTACTTTCGGAAATAACTTTTCTACAACTTTAAAAATCAGGGTCAATTTGTTTAAGTTTTCAAGTGTTTGCAGGACCCTGCATTTGGTATATCTGGTCTCCCACAGTGCACACTACACGGAAATGCAATACTTATAATAAATATAAACTGCTAAATACCTTTCCTCATCAGCATCATCATAGAGCAGTCTTGTGACTTCTATCAGTGTCCAGCAGAGCACTGGTTACAGCTTGTAGGAGGAGTTTTCATTCTTCTGTGGGAGAATGCAGAACCCCTGACCTCTGTCTGGACTGTGCTGATTGGCCCTGTGCTGATCACATGTACTCTCCCAAGAAGAAAAACAAACTCTCTAGCAATACACAGCAAACTGAGCATATGCAGCTTGCCCCGGAGCTTCTGTTCTATCAGGAGATATTTAGTGTACACTGGAAGAAGGGGAGGATCGGAGAAGTCAGGATCAAACATTATTTTTACACAATGCAGAGGATTAACCCCTTAGGTTCCACAGTGAGTATAACAAGCATACTTTACTGCATATACAGACTGATTTTACTGTTGTGGGTTTAGTAACACTTTAAATTCGTTTTAGCTATTGCTATACATCAGGTATATAAGGTTCCTGTTTGAAATATTATGTTTTTTCTTTTGCCGTAAAGAAATGATCCTACGTGAAACATGCATTTGCATGATGGTTACTTTCATGGTTTTAATTAGTAAAGTTGTTTTAGTAAAGTTCTACAGAACTGAATGAAGACTGAACCATGCTGACATATTTTTTTAAGTATTCTAAAATGGATAGGGCAACCATTCTTGTTATGTCAATCCTGTGTACAATCAAAAAGTATTATAGTGAACCATGGAGAAAAAAATTTCCTAGTCCCAGAGGGGGTTAGCAAAAGCATGCACTGTGTCTATAGTTGTGTGTCATGGGGTTATTGGGGAACTAGAGTGAGTGCAGAAAAGGTCAGTTAAAGTGATAAGAGACGTTGAGGACATCAGCTATTAGGAAAGGTTAGCTGAACTCAATTTACTCTTTTAAGAAGAGCCTTTTAACCACTTCCCTTCTAAAATCATTATTTTTGGCTACACAAAAACTTAAAACCCATAGAACAGTATATATTTTCTGAAAGCAGAGGCCCTGTAGAATAATGCAATGTTTTATGTTGCCTGATTTTTTTTGCAAAACTGTTTGTCATAACTATATTTTCAGTACTAAATACACTAAAATGAATTTCAATGCATACAAACCTGATATAATCCCCGTGTTTTGTACAAAATAAATTATGCGCTTGTGTTGAGCAAATAGATACCAAATATGTAAAAACTGCGCCCACAAAATGACAAAACATTACAGTACTCAAAATTATCAATATGAGATAATTTAACTGCCTTTTCAGCTTTTTAGTTTGAAGTTAACCATAAATGAGGGACCTAGAATTATTGCTTTCACTCCGGCATGTGTGGTGATATATAACATGTTTAGGGCATTCATCCACATACAAGTGTATGTCCTTTGCACATGTTTGTATGTGTGTGCACGGTGTTAGGGCTGATTTTTATTTTTTAATATTTAACAATTTTTTTCCTTTATCGTAGGAACTTGGAAAATGTGGAAAATTCTTTCTCAGGAAGTACTGTATTTCCATTGCTAATTATAAAAACGATCAGTACCATCATTCGTGAGTCCAAAGATTAAATGTTTTTCTTGCTGTCATACCTTCCACAGTTTTCTCCTGCACCTGATGCCTGCTGTCATCCATAATTTTCTCCCACACATATTGCCCACTTTCATACTCCCTACACCTGACTCCTGTACATGTAAGCCCACTGTCATACCTTTCATACTCCTTTCCTGCACATATCCCCACCTCTCCTTGTACTACGCTGCACACTCTTCTACTGCACTTAATTCCCCCTGTAAAACCCTCTGCACTCCTCTACTGAATATACTTTCCATTGCCTTACACTACACACTCTCTTCCTGCATGCATTGCCCCCGTCATTCCCTCCACAATCCTCTTCTACACACACTGCCCAATGTTATACCCTCCGCATAT